CGCCACAGCTTCGGTTTCTCCTGTGCCCGGCGGGAAGGGTGAACCGCAGCGGTGGCACCACACAGCAGCCGGGTGCCCGGCGGCTCAGCCTGTCCCGTAGCATCCCCGAAATCCCGCGTCCTCCCTGCAGGTCCTCCTTGCAGCGCGCCAGGAAAACCAGGGGGCAGGCTTTCCCAGCTCGGGCCAGTGCAGCTCCCAGCGGCCCCTGCAGAGCCCGCGTGAGTGCGAAACCTCAGCACAGCCTGCTGAGGCCACTGAGCCGCAGGTCCCCAGAGTTTTGCTGTAAGATGAGGGCTGAGCAGTGTCTCCGGGTCCGTGCGGAGGAGGGCACAGTGCGTCCCCGCCCGCCCCGCCCCAGGCAGTGAGGGGGTGTCTGGGAAGAGAGGACAGTGGCCTTTGCTCGGAGCTCCGGCCGCTGCGGGGGAGTCACCTTCCCATTTGCCTTACTCACCGTGGGAAAGGTCGCATTTAAAAATTAATAGTGACTTGGCCTGCGACCTTGTTGCTGTGATCGCTGGCTTCGTCTTCATAGGAAAGGCTTTGCTTCCGTCAAAATCCTGATGCGTGTGCTTGGTGTGTGTTTTTTAAATGTATTTTTGTTGATTTAGAAAGGAAGGGAGAGAGAGATAGAAGCATCAATGATGAGAGAGAATCATGGATCAGCTGCCTCCTGCACGCCCTCTGCTGGGGATCGAGCCCGAAACCCGGGCCTGTGCCCTGACCAGGTATCGAACCGAGACCTCCTGGTTCATAGATTGACGCTCAGCCGCTGAGCCCCGCCGGCCGGGCTTCATTGCTGTTTTTGTTTCTTTTTCTTGTTGCGACAGCAGCAGGTTTGATCATTCTTTGCACTTGCTTATAGGGTCTGGGCGGTCGCGGGGGTGCGCGGGGGCGAAGGTGGGAGTTTTTAAGGCACAAGAAACTCTTTTCTCCGCCACCAACCTGGCCTGAGCGCTTAGACTAGAAGCGGGAGCCCCGAGCCCACGTGGTTCACGGGAACATGTCGCGCCTGCCTCGCCTCTTTCCCTGTCGCTGTGGCACGAAACTCGCAGGCGGGGCGACTTCGTTCCCACGGCACTGGCTGCGCTGCCCGCGATGTCCCCGTGGGAAAGAGAGAGACCTGGCGGGTGGTGACCAGCCAATAGGTCTCCATTAACGTCCCGGAGGCAGCCCGCTGCCCCCGCCACGTCTTCATCGGGGACGTAGTGACGTTGGACGACACGGGGAGTCGTTTCCAGGTGACGGGAAGCTGGGAGGACAGCGGACACAACAGGTGACAGATTCAGGGCCCCAAGAGGTCCTGGCAGACGACACGACTGTGCGTAGGAGCGAGCAGCACTTCTAAATCTTCCCGTTTGTGTCCAAAAACCAACATGTCGAGTCCGAGGGCCCCCCCTCCCTGCGTTCCGATGAAGATGCCGGGGGTTTAGTCTCCAGCCGGCCGCCTGCTGGGTCTGAGCCACCAGGAAGCAGGGACCCGCCTGGGCTGTGGAGGGAGGCGGGCGCTGCCAGGGCGGCCAGGCCACGGGGCGTTCCTGCTGAGCGGCCCGCCTGCAACTCCGCGTTCCTTGCTAAGCCTGTGTCTGAAGGCAGGCACGTGCCCAGGGATGCAGAGCAGAGTCCTGTCGTTAGGGTCACCCAGTGTGGGGCCTGGGCCTCTGGGCAGCCCCTGGCCTCGGGGCACCCCCGGCTGGCAGGACAGAGCGCCTGCCAGCAGCCCCCGCTTCTCGTTTCAGATGGCGGAGCAGCTCATGACCTTGGCCTACGACAACGGCATCAACCTCTTTGACACGGCGGAGGTCTACGCGGCGGGCAAGTATGTGTCTCTCCTCGTGGGAAAGAGGGGTGTGGCCACGGGTCCCCCGGGAGCGCCTTTTCCTGTGACCCTCGTCCCTAGGGGCCCTGCATGTGCCTCACCCTCTGCCTGCTTTCTAAGCTCTAAATGGCTCAAGGGCGTGTCGTTCTCCTGGGCCTTGGACACTGGTCACTTGCTAAACTCCCCATGTGCTCACACACCACGGCCACCTCAGCCCTCTGGTGCCAAAGGCGCGATGCCCGGCGAGGGCCGGGATGAAGCTGTCACCGGCGCTCCCGCCGTGCCCGCGGCCCCCCACACTCCTGACATCTTCACCTCCTAATGGCGCAGCTAGGGCCGCGGAAGCAGGTCTGGAGCTGGCCAGCCCCGCGCTGCAGGAGGCCCTTCCGTCCTGGCAGTGGACTTGCTACTCAATTATGTAAAAGCGCTGCTCGGCCAAGGCCGCTGGCCTGGGCTTAGGACCGGCTGTAATCAAATCATCCGCTCTCCTGCCTCGGGCTCCAAGGGCAGCTTTGCTTGTGAAGTCATCTGCTGGCTCTTTCCCCTCCCTCCCCCCCTCCCGCCTGCACGAGCCACGTGCCATCAGCCGGGCTGGGGGCACCTCCGGGCCTGCACCTGCAGCGGAGCTCGGGGCTCGGGTGTCTCCACAGCCTGTCCCGAGGCCGAAGCCGCGGGGCCTCGACTCAAGTCCTGGCCCAGGGTCTGAGGATCTCACAGCCCTGGGGGCCTCCACTGGGACCCCCCAACCTCCCCCAACCCCCGTCAGCAGCTCACTGCCCCTCCCAGCCCCTCCAAACCGGCAGCCGCTGCCCATCACAGTGAAACGCTTTCCAGACCGATGAGCTCCCTGAAGGTCAGAGGCGGGGAGGCCCAATGCGGAAGCCACCCCACAGCCCCGCCGGGCTCTGACACCCGGCCTGCACCCGGGCCTGCACGAGGGCTCATGGGGGCAGCTCTGTGCCGCCTCCTGCAGACGGCCCGGCCCCAGTGCACACACTTCACGGCAGCCACACTGCGTCAGTCTCACTTCCCCGGTTAGGGGACACCCAGGCTGGGCAGCTCGGAATGAGCACACTGGGTCCCGGCAGCCGTGGGGCCTCCTGGAAGCCCCATGTAGAAGCCGAGGACTCGGGGAGCAGCTTCCGGGGCTTGTCGCTGCCCCCGGAGCCACTACCCCCATCCTGCCCTCCACTCCCCCGGCCTCTGAACCTGCCCAATCCCCCCATCAGGGCCTGGGTGCCCGCAGCCACCCACACGGGGAAGGGGCGCTGCGCCAAAGGACAGGCAGAGAGGAGCTGCCCCGGGCCCGGGGCTGCCAGGCGGCTCCAGCGGGCAGGGGCCCGGCGCTGTCCCTCTCGCTAACCAAGTGCCAGTCGCGTAGCTTGCTGAGTCCCCCCTCTCATGCCGATGCTAATTTGGGCGCTTCCCAGAGCTGCAGGGCTTCTGGGCCCTGCCCGACAGGATGGCACCAACCTTACCAAGTTCATGGCCACGGGCAACAGACTGTGGCTAACTCTGTCTACAGTGCCTGTGAGCCAGGCCCACGGCTGCTTTTCTCTCTCCGTCCTTTCCTGACCTTTGTCCCACAAGTGCGGGACCCAGGGCTGAGGAGGAGGCCGGGCTGAGTGCCTTTCTGAGCATCCTGACCGGAGCGGAGAGCTCTCAGCTCCGCCAAGCAGCTTGCCAGCGAGAGCCATTACTCCTGAGTGCGTGACTCAGCACTTCTATTGAAGGGAGCGCTGCGCACGGCTCAGCCTCCCCTGGCGGCTTTCACTCAGGAACACTTTGCTGCCAGCAGAACGTCCTTAAAAGTCAAAAACTAAAGTCAGGCGTCCATCGCTGCAGCGCCACGCGGGCCGGAACAGTGCCCATGAGGCCACCGGCCCGAGTTTGCTGCAGGGCCCCAAGGGACGCCCAACAGAGTGGACAGGGGCCAGCAAGGCCACTGTCTCTCATCCAAACACAGGAGACCAGAGGAGCACACGCATACACACACATGCACACACGCACACACGCACGCCTGCAAGCACTCTGTCAGAACCCCGCCCTGGCCCTGAGTCCCTGTCGGTTGTCTCTGAAAACAAGATGAATAATTTAACTTTTAAAAACATGCTTGTCTGGCCCTGGCCGTTGTGTCTCAGTGGTTAGAGCGTCAGCCCACACCCCGAAGGGTCTTGGGTTCGATTCCCAGTTTAGGGCACGTACCTGGGTTGCGGTCCATCCCCGGCCCAGTTGGGGCAGCTAGTGGATGTGTGTCTCTCACGTCGATGTTTCTCTCTCTTCCTCTCTCTCCTTTCCCTCCCTCCTTCCCTCCCTTCCACTCTCAAAATCAACGGGAAAAATACCCTCGAATGAGGATTAACAAACAAAAAAACCTTTCTGTCTGGAAACTTCACCCACATCGCGTGGCGGGTGTCTTCCCGGTGAATTTCCCGTGGCCCGGCACCGGGTGCTGCCGGCCTTGCCTATGGGGCTTTGGCTCCTTCCCGCGAGGGCCAGAGCCCTGCGGCCCGGACCAGGCATAGGGACACGTGCCACGCCCCTTTGTGGGGGCACAGCAGCTACGCCTGTCCCTGGATGAGCTGCCCGAGCCTCGGGGGCCGGCTGGCTCCTGGCCCCATGACCTCTCCCTTGGGGACCAGGCGGCCGCTGTCCGTGGGCGGGTGGGCCTTCTGTGGCTGTAATGACATCTCCATGTCTGGCCTTTCTTGCAGGGCTGAGGTGGTTCTCGGGAACATCATTAAGAAGAAGGGATGGAGGTAGTGCCTGCTCTCTCTGTGGTCTGTGTCCAGGGCCCACACGGGGGGCGGGGGGAGCAGGGGAGGGGAGGGGGCTCCGTGAGAGGCAGGCGCGCTCTGGGCTGGGATTGGGTGGGCAGGCCTCCCCAGGCGAGCGTGGCTTGGTCCCCGCGGTCCCATCCTGTTACCAGGGGCATTCCCAGGGTGGTCTCCTCGCCGTCTCTCTAAGACCTGCAAGCCCCAGAATCTCTCTCATGGGGAAGGGAGGGCTGTCCCAGAATGAGGCAGCCCAGAGCTTTCTCCAGGGAGCGAGGTTCACACCGGGGGTGGCCGCCCCCAAGGAGCCAGGGGCTGTGGCGAGGGGGGGGTGCCCAATTCCGTTCTCCCAGGTAGGCGTCTCTGCTGGAGAGGGAGCCAGCGGGGGCCCACACCCCCCATCTGCCCCTCCCCCTGACCCGCGGTTCAGAGGGCCAGGGTCCCGGGGGCAAGGCTGACTGGGTGAGGCCAAGCAGAGCTGCCGTGGGAACTTGCAGCCGCCCTGGGTGCCACGGGTGGTGCCGAGAGGAGAGGGGTCAGTCCCCCTGGACAGGGACCGTGTCCCACCTCCTGGTCAGGCTGCCCCGAGGCTCACACCACCCAGCCCGGGGCCGGGCCTTCACACCCCACTCCCCCGGGAAGTGGTGGCTCCTCAGACCGCCTCCACCTCAGGACCTGCCCCCCCCCCCCCCCCCCCCACCCTCTTCTGATAGTGTCAACGGGGAGCTTGGCCCCATGTCCTTCGTCCTTGGCTCCTGCCGCCCTTGGCCCCTGAGCCTCCCGTGGCCCCGGCCCCACACGGGACCTCGAGTCTCTGTCCCCACCCCTCCCTCAACCTGCTCCCATCCCCTGAGCTGTGTCCCCCCTGCATTCTCCCGAGACCCCTCTGCCAGACGTGCCCCTCCTCTGGGCCGTCTCCCCTGGGCCCCATACCTGCCCTGTGGGTCCATATTGGTTAGTTACACCCATGGGTTGGGGAGCTGCACCCACGTGGTTAGTTAGTTACACCCACGGGTTGGGGAGCTGCACCTACGTGGTTAGTTAGTTACATCCACAGGTTGGGGAGCTGCACCCATGTGGTTAGTTAGTTACACCCACGGGTTGGGGAGCTGCACCCACGTGGTTAGTTACATCCACGGGTTGGGGAGCTGCACCCACGTGGTTAGTTAGTTACACCCACGGGTTGGGGAGCTGCACCCACGTGGTTAGTTAGTTACACCCACGGGTTGGGGAGCTGCACCCACGTGGTTAGTTAGTTACACCCATGGGTTGTCTCCTGACGCCACGCGGAGCCCAGGGTCCAGGCTCGACACAGCGAGGACTGAATGACGGGCACCCTATTCCACCCAGCGCTCCCCGATGAGAAGGGTGGAAGGACCCCCACAGGACCACGTGCAGTAACACCCCTCCTCCTGCTCTGTCCACAGACGGTCCAGCCTGGTCATCACCACCAAGATCTTCTGGGGAGGAAAGTAGGTGATGCTCCGGTGGCAGGTCCAGTGGCCGCAGCCCGAGCCCAGCCCACTCCCCTGGCTGAGGAGGCTGGG